CGGGTGCGCCTGGCTTCGGGGCTCGGGCCTGAAGCGCTTGCTGGGGGGTCAGGGCTGCAGCGCCCCTCACACCCCAGCCCGCAGCCGACCCCTCCCAGGGCCCTGGTTCTGGAAGTGAGGCCGTCGCTGGTGCCCCGCGTTGGAAGCCTGCAGAGGACGGGGCGGTCCTTCCAGGTGGAAGGCGCACGTCCATGGGAGGGACGTGAGCAGGAGGGAGCGCCCCTGAAGGATGGGGGCCTTCGTTCCAGCAGCCGCCCTCCCCAAACCTCCAGCAAGTGGGGGGAGAAAGCTTAGGGTTTCCTGACGGCCACGCAACTTGTCCCAGCCCCCAAGGCTGGAGGTCCCCAGGGGAGCCCCGGCTTCCAATAGGACCCGAGCTAGAGAAACTCAAACAGGGCCCAGAAACGGTCCTGTCCCGCTCATGCCCATCTCCTGGGGATTGTATCATTAACTAGTGCGTTTGTCGCATCTGTTCTCCCTCCTGCCCGTCGTTCTCTGCTCCCAGGCCCAGGTTCCATGGGAACATGCCAGACGCCGGGTGTGAGAGCCGATGCCTTGGTGTTGGAGGGTTAGGAGTGGGTCTCCCCCCTGCTGCTTTGTAATTATTAGTTCTCTCCAATTTGTTTTCACAGTTCATATGTATTACTCTGTAACTCAGGAAAAACACTATGTATATAATTTAGCTGATAAAAATGATCATATTTTGGATAGTTAGAGATAGAAGGGGAAATATCCTGAGAATAAAGCAGTAGTTTTGCTCTATTTGTTTTCCCCAGACCAGCCAATCTTTTCTGACTCGCACTAGAAAATCAGCTCATCAGTTTGACATGGAAAGACATTCCCTTTTGTCCTGCCTACTTAGGGGACTACTTTTGTAGTTTCAAGATCCCGGGCAGGGAAACAACGTCATAGAAGGGTTCATGGTCGATCCACAGTGAAGGCAAAGTGAGGGGAATGGTCTGGATGGTCATTTCAGCCAAGCTGTAACAGTCTAGTGAACTTGGATCTTTCTGTGCCACACCAGTGCCTCCCACCTTTATTACTAAACACTTTAAAATTTTTTCCAAATTACTTCAGTTACGTTCCATTTTATTGCAAATTAGGACAATACTTCATCTGTGCACAGAGTCGTTCATTTAACGAACATTTAGTAAGCACCTACCAAGTGCAGGGCCCCAGGCTGATGCTAAGAATACCAGGCAAGACTGGGTCCTTATCTGTCAGGAGTTTTGGGTCTAATTGGTGGACATGCATATATAAACAGTGATGTACCGGGAATTATTTCAGGGGCTCTGCTAGGTCCCTCCATAGACAGACTTACAGCAGCCAGTGGGACATGAAGGAGTAGCCACTTCTAGTGGGGCGAGAGGACAGTGCCAAGGAAGCAGGAAAAGATTTGCAAAAAAGTAGTTATCTGGGCTGGTCATGAGTCTTTAGCTTGTTAGTGAGTAGTCCTTCCTGGTGTGAAACTGTGTTGTGTGTGTGTGTGTGTGTGTGTTTCCTGTTCTTTGCTCTAATCATGTCATTCTTTGACACATTAAGGGGTTGCTTTGTGATTTCATTTTCTTGTTAATCCTCACCCAAGGATATTTTTTTCCCATTGATTTTTTAGAGAGAGAGGAAGATAGGAAGGGAGAGGAACATCGATGTGAGAGAGACACATCGATTGCTTGCCTCTTGCATGCGCCCGGACCAGGGGACCAGGGCTGGGGATCAAATCTGCATGCCCTTGACCGGGAATCTAACTGGAGACCCTTCAGCATGAGGGGGTGATGGTCTAACCCAGCCGTGGGCAAACTACGGCCCGAGCCGGATCCGTTTGAAATGAATAAAACTAAAAAAAAAAAGACCGTACCCTTGTATGTAATGATGTTTACTTAGAATTTATATTAGTTCACACAAACTCTCCATCCATGCTTTTGTTCTGGCCCTCCGGTCCAGTTTAAGAACCCATTGTGGCCCTCGAGTCAAAAAGTTTGTCCACCCCTGCTCTAACCACTGAACACACTGGCCAAGGTAGTTGTTTTGTGGTTTCTATCTTCATTGATAGGTGCAATGAGTTTATAACATTCAAATCCTATTTCATCATATTTTAAAAACTGGCCCAAATTTAAAAATATATGTCCTTTTGTCAGGTGGCATTGAAATTATAAAACATATTGAACTTTAAACTTTTTATTTTTACTTAGAGCATATAATTGTACATTCATTCCCCAGTCTTTAGGTGTTGGGCTCACTGTGTGGGTGATCTGATTGAAATTACTAATTTTTTTCCTTGCATTAACCCCACTCTTGATAGATTGGGTTTAGGATTTCTTGCCTTTGTTTCTCTATAGTGGAGAAAGAGCTAAAGACACATAAAACACTATCTGTGTGGAGTTCCTTTAGGCCTTACAATTTCTTCCTCATCTCTTACAGTTTTCTAGCTCAAAACTAATTTAACATCAGTTTTTATTACTTATTGTTAAATGACCTGCCTTTATAGAATCTTTTCAAAGCATTCAACTTTATTTTTATATCATTTTTCATGTCTCCTTTTATTTGTTCGGGGGTTTTTCCCACACTCATATTTCATTGTTTTATGAGGCAGTAAACACATTTTAGAAGAAATAAGTGATTCTAAGCATACTATTCAACCATTCTGTTCTGTTTCATTTTAAAAATGCTAGTCATGACCCAGTGAATTTATTTCAACCCAGTACGTTGATATGAAGACTGACAGTTTGAAAAATACTGTGTTAAACAGTAGCCTCCTAGCATTCAGTACACCTGGCGTCAGTGGGGGTTTGAGAGGGATAGAGAGTGAAGGTTAAGCCAGTGAGTTGGTTAAGCAGTGTTCTGGTAAGAGGGCTTCTAACTGTATTAAAATTTTATTGGGTTAAATTCTGGGTCAACGACTAGGGTTTGGAAATCTCACTGTACTCAAGTTTTGGCTATTGTGACTTGAGTTTTAAATAAAAACCTAGCCTAGATCTAAAACTCTCCAGCTTGGAATTAGTGTTAATGGCCCAGAGAGTTCATGTTACATGTGTAACCAACCATCACTGAGCCATTTGAAGGCCATTTGATTGTGTCCTTTTGTATGGATAGACAAGGAGATTAATGGATAAAATGTCTAAGCTAGTCTAAGAGAACATCTTTCCTAGTTTGTGACAATGTCTGGGCCTTCTGAGATCTTCCACTAAGTCAGGCCTGCATTCTTTTTAGGGACACAAAACCTGAAAGACTTTTGATGAAGCCAGAAAAGGATACTGACAAGCAAGAATATTTAAGTTGAAATCAAGACCTTTCTTCTCCTCGGTGGAGGCTCCCAGATACAAAAGGTACGTGGCTGTCTTGTCAGAGCTTAGTAAAGGCACGTGGGCATTTTCCTGGGTTGACAGCTTTATTCACTCAGGTCCTAGGACAAGCTCAGAAGTTTACCACTTTTCAAAATGCCTGTTGTTCAGGGAAGATGGGCCAGTGAAAGGATGGACTGTCTGTGGCCGAATATCTGGGAATCCCTGCCTGCGACTCCGGTATCTCTATCCCCTTGGTAATGACATCCATCATTTTGGATAGATGGGGTTTGACAGCTGTGTAGTCCCCAAAACTCACATTGTCAGTGCAACTAGTGTGACCAGGCTTTCAGGAACGGATTCATGCTAGCCAGACTCACCGAAGACTCAAGTGAACAGCATGACCACTCACATGGGGACATTCATCTCCAGTGACCAAGGACGCGTGGCTATGTTCTCCAGGACCCTCGCTGCTCAATCCTGGGTACCCGGGAACACTCCTAGTGCCCAGAAAGTTGTTCGGCGATCTCACAATCACAACAGAGAAAGGGATGGTGCTATGGGTTGAATTGTGTCCCCTCCCAATTCACATTGTTGAAGTCCTAACTCCTGACACCTCAGGATGTGACCTTATTTGGAAACAGATTCATTGCAGATGTACTTTGTTCAGATTAAGAGTAGAGTGGCTCCTAATTCAATATGACTGGTGTCCTTGTAAAAAAAGGAAAATTTGTGCACAGATGCCCACATAGAGGGAGGACGTCATGTGAGGATGAAGGCAGAGATCGGCATGTGCATCTGTAAGCCAAGGAACCCCAAGCATTGCCAGCAAACCACCAGAAGCCAGAAGAGGGCACAGAATGAATGCCCCCTCGCAGCCCAGCCCGCACTCAGAAGGCATCAATCCTGCCAGCTCCTTGAGACGTCTAGCCTCCAGCACTTTGAGACAATAAGTAGTTTAAACCAGCTGGTTGCTTTAAATTTTTAAGGCAGCCCTACCAAACTAGTACCGGTGGTTCTGTAGACTGTTTCACATTGCAGAGCTTGACAAATCACCTCCCAACCCTGGCTAGGGGCCAGGTTGTCTGTCATCCCTAGGTCTAGTCTCCGTCCCTTGGACAGTGCTGGGAAAACACACTCCCCACATGTTGGTCTTTGGGTTTCCTTCTTCTAAATGCGAGAACATCTTTCCTCTTCTATTTATACATCCTTCCTTCTGTTCACTTAATACCACTCATTATATCTCAGTTCTCTTTGTCACGGTATAGTCGTGTTTCCTAGTACACCTGTGTTGAGCCTGCCGCGCATTTACACATTCTGTAAACTATTCTCAGTTTTGGTGATTAGAAGAATCACCTGGGGCTGCTGATTAAAAAGATAAAAATAAAAAAGAACTTTTGCGATGGGACCCAGGAATAATTATATTCAATAACCACTACGGGTGCTGTTAACCTCATTACCTGTCGATTCTTACCAGCTTCTTTCTTGGAGGATAATCTAAACTCTAAGCTCTGGAGACACCCAGTTTAGTCCAATTAGGGAGGTCCTGTTCCCAGCTGTAAGGATTTAGGCACCACCCCCTTCCCACCCAAGACTTTAGAAGTATATTGGGTGTCCAGGTCAGTCCAAAGCATTTGTTCATTTAACAGAAATTGTTTAACACCTGCTATCAACTAAATACTAGTCCGGGGTCTGGGGAAACATCTGTAAAACAAATAGACAAGAATACCTTATATCCTAGCTGGGAGGAAATGGTCAATCAATCAATCAATATACTAGGTGAGCAGTGCTGTGGGAAAAATAAGTAAGGGCGGGGATCCTGAGTGCAGGGTTGTCTGTGGGCCTGGCAATTTTCAGTGGGTGCCTTGGGTAGGCGTCACTGACAAAGTGACTTGAAAGTGGGCCATGTAGCTCTCTGGAAGAAGAGCATCCCAGGCAGAGGGGACAGCCAATACAGAGTCCCCAATCATTAGCTGAGTGCACCTGGCATGTTAATAGAAACCAGAGGCCAGTGTGGCCGGAGTGGAGTGGGTGTGTTTACAGGGGGGCCAGATCACGCCCTATAGGCTCTTGGCTTTCAAGTTGGCGAGATGGGAAGCTATAGGAGGATTCTGAGCAGTGACGTGGTCTGACTTTCATTTGTAAAGTATCACTCAGGCTGCTGTACTGAGGACAGGAGCAGAAGCAGGAAGACCAGTTAGGAAATGACTCCAATAATCCAGGTGACATGCCAGTGGCTGGCAATAGGGTGGCAACAGTGGAAGTGGTGAGGGCTGGTTGGATGTGGATATATTTTGAAGGTAGACCCAACAATTTTCTGATAGACTGGATGTGGAATGTTGGAGAAGAGAGATGTCAAGGACTCTAATCAGGGTAAATCTTGGAATTCTTGCTTGGAAAGCTGAGCATAAGCAGCGCCCCAAAAGAGGAAGCACGTAGCCTGCACATTGCTGGCAGCCATCCTACGCCCATGCGGAGAGCCGGCCTGAGGCACATGCTGTGTTTGGGGGCGGGGGAGGGGGGGCAGAAAGAGATTGTCCTGAGAGTAGTGCAGAGCCGCTGCCTCCACACCTGAAGCCTGACCCACCCTGCACCCCTAGTTATAAGAGCCAATGAGTTCCCTCCGTTACTTTGTAACTTGCATCCAAAATGTTTACTGCAACTGGGAGATGCACTATTTGCCTAAAGAAACTTTGCTAGTTCCCCCAGAGCTAGTCTCCAGACTTCATGGATGACTTTCCCAAACATTGTTCTTTCTCATGCCTCTGTTCTCATCTCAGCAAATTGTAAGCCCCTAGACTACTGTCAGGAGTGGGGCTGCACAGACCCAGCATGACAGAAAGCCAGAAATTATTAGCACAACATCCCCCCTGGGAGTGGTGATGGTAGTAGCAGTAGTAGTAGTATTGCCTATCCTATCTAATAAATCGGGAATATGCTAATTGACCCTCATGCCATCACAAAGATGGCAGCACCCACAGCCAATAAGGAGGGAATATGCTAATTGACTGCCACGCTCTCAAAGATAGTGGCACTCACAGCCACAAGATGGTGGTGCCCAGTCCCCTCAGCCCCCCAGCCACCCAGGGCCGGCTCAAGGCGCAGGCAAACCTTGGATGGTGGCTGCCCAAGGCTCAGGTAACCAGGGCCGGCCGAGGCTTGCATTGCTGGCAGTGGCAGCAGCAGAGGTGTGATGGGGGCATTGCCTTCCCCTGATCGCCAGGTCGCCTCCCACCCCTGAGGGCTCCCGGACTGTGAGAGGGGGCAGGCCGGGCTGAGGGACCCCCCTCCAGTGCATGAAATTTCATGCACTGGGCCTCTAGTATTTTATAAGTTTCAGAGCAGAGATTAAGGGATTTAGGACCAAAGTCTTTTATTTCAAATCTAAGATTGGTTTCTCCAATTAACCAATCACAATCCATCTGTCCCACTAAAGAGAGCAGAGCTTTTCAGGAGGCATCTGGCTGCTTTGCTGATTGGCAATACATAGATACAAATGTGACAGATCTGATCCTCACCTTTACAGGGTCAGTAACTTCTGGGCCTCTTCACTCTGAGTGGTTAAGCTGGAAAGGATCAGTTCACCACAGCCAAACTCATGAGACTGATGTATAAACCAGCCCGCTAGATTCTTTATAACAGCTACTCTTTCTCAAAATTGAAAACTTGTAGACTCTTGACTATATCCCAGTTTGGGTAACATTAAATTCACACTTACATTATGAGACTTTAAAAACAGCCATAAGGGCAAATCCAGACTGGGCATTGCTATTACATGGCATTACTCTGTAAAAAAGGTGTCAATCCAGGTAATGCTTATGTTAAATTTTTTATATATCTTGAAAATGAAAACACTAACTTTAAAATTATTCTAAAGAATTCATGGACCTCTCTGTGAATGTGATTAAAAACTCCAATCTGTAAAACAGGGCAATAGGAGAAAGGCTTTGTCTGAGAACTGTGCTGGCTGTGTATACAGGATGCGCTAACACAAGTCCACTCAGGAAACTGGGTTGCAGATCAGAAGGCAGATTAAGGGCAGAGGGAGCGGGCTGCTCTCAGGGAGCACAGCCCTCAGACAGGGAGGCCAGTTATCCCATGTGCATTTGCTCTAAGGTACTTCTGGTGAGGACTCTACAGTCCTGGAGAACAGAGCCCCGTCTTCCCTGCATTATGGTAGAGAAGCAGTGACAAATTGTTACTCACTGATTTCCCTTTTCCTAACTTCACCTGAATCCATGCACCCTTGCTGCCAGTGCATCACTCTAGGGAAATAGGAACTGTGCTCTTCTGACAAGGCAAGGACTTGGACCAGATTGGTGGATCTCTGCAGCCCATGCTCTTATTTTATCACATTACTAGTTTCTGTCATTAAACTAACATTATGAGGGGCTCATCTACTCTAGAGGATGGCAAAACAACTTTCTAATCTCTCCCGAGTTTTTCTGCATCAGACTGAGCATCAAGCATCCTTCTCAAATGCCCTCTCCCGGTGTTCTCTGCCTACTCCTACTTTAGATCTGTCTTTTGCCAGCCCTCCCCTTCCCCACCTCCAGCCTACATTGAGTTTGTGCTAGGAACTAGGGAGCACCCGCCGCCCATGGCCGAGCACTCCCTTCTGGCTCCAGAACCAGATTGAATTAGAGCGCTGGGCTGCCTCCAAGCCGGCTGGGAGAATGCATCCTGTTCCCAGGCAGCGGTTCCAGGGGCAGCATTCAATCGCCAACACTTGCCTGCCTCCTCAGAGCCAGGCAAGGATATGAATTTCCTCAGGCCACTTGGCAGATGCCTGCTTGTTCTTTAGTTTGGTAAGAACTAAGGGAGGGAGTGCCTGGCCGATTTAGGAATGAGAGGGCTCCCAGGGAACTTGCCTTGAACTGCAGGGATCACTCCCACCCCCTTACCTGTCCGCCACCTCCACTGAGTGCTCATGCCTTCGCATGCACTCTAGCCAGGACGGACTACAGCTGTTGCATTTACTTACCTGACCATTTTTTTCTCCCTCCCTCCCTCCCTCCTTCCCTCTCTCTTTTCCTTCCTCTCTCTCTCCTTCCAGTGTTTATTCTTTCTTGCTTTTCTTACCTGTGTGTGCCACTTCTCTTCTTCCCGCAGCCTGGTCCCCTTTAGCTCTTCCTCACAAAATCTTCCCCACCCTTTAAAAGCCACAGCTGGAATGAGCACTCCAGAAAGCCTTCTCTGATCTACAAGCAGAAAAATCCCTCCTTTTTTTGTCTGCCACACCCATTTTCCTGGACCCATCTTAAATCACAGACCACTTTCTGGTATCCAGTGTAGCTACTGAGGTACATTTCTTATGTAGTCTATCAGGAAATAAGCTAAGACGTGAGGGCATGTCTGACTGCCTTTGTTTTTCCCAGGAGATTCTGCACGTCGTAGGGATTTAATATTTGTTGAATGAATGATAAATCAAAAACACTGTACACACGGCATACAAATGACAGAAGACTGGATCCTTTATAAGTTTCCCTTCTGAAGCTGCCCTATGCAGAGCTTCCCTGGGGTCCCTCTGATTCCACCCCACCCCCCTTGGGCTAATGTGGCCCACTGCAGGTGAGGGGAGCCCCCAGGTGCCTGACCCTTCAGTGGCCAGGGCTCCTTCTGATTGGTCAGTGCTTGGGTCATACCAGTTGTTACATATTTTGAATATCAGCCCTGCAGCTAAGTCAGGCAGC